GATGAGAAGGGACGCTAGCCCCACCGGGTTATCTTTGCATTGATAATGAAACAATTTCCTGAGTCGTATGCACTACGACACAATTCCAAATTGCCCAGTCTAAATCTTTCACTCCTCCGCATCTCTATTCACAGAGCAATCATCCCGTCATTTTTACATTGATAAAAAATGTCCAAGGTTAAAAAATTGATGTTTTCAAATGAAAGCCCACCTGAGGTGACATATGGAGAAGTGGATTTTCCGCATATTCCAGGGGACATGGTGGCGGTAAATACTGTTTCATCTCCTCTTGTAAATCCGTTTCCGTCGTCGCTGACACTGACAACTTCGACTGTCCACCCGGTTTGTCATTTACTTCTCTTGTTTCCTGCTCCTCCACTTCTTTACCTTCCTCGTCTTCCTCGTCAATGTCGATGTCATCATCATCATTATCATCGTCGTCTTCACCAAGAGTGGAGTCCAAACCCTCCTCATCGCTATCTGAAATGATGGCCACGTTGTCCGGATTGTCTTCTACGTCCGTGGGGCTGAGAGGAAGCCTCTCCATTTCGATTTCAGCCATCTCCTTCCCATCCCCCTCCTCCTCCTTTCCGTCTCCCTTCTTGTCGTCTCCGTAATTAACATCTTCTTCGTCGGTGGTGGAGAGTGAGGGGGATGTCGAATGCTCCTCGAGAAGATCAAGTTCCTCTAAAACTAAGATTTTGGGAAAAAAAAATTAAAAACATGGTCTGCATTCTCTTGCTTTATGGGGAAATTTGTGCCTGTAGACTTTGGGGAATCTATGTTTGGCCTAACAGTGCTACTTTGGTACTATGCAGGCCCCGGGTGTGACAGTGCCAAACCCAATATAGTTTAATAGAGATGGGGCATGATAGATGAAAATCGACTTTACCTAATGCGATACAACGATACTACTGAAATGAATAGGCTTTTTTCGTTTACTTAAATACCACTAGGATGATTAACATGGGAGAGTAACAACTGCGTTGCCCACAATACTTGCACCCACCTCTATAGGGTAACCAAATAAGTTCCTGAAATTATCCTCCTCCAACAAGATACAAACTTACTGTGAGGCCCGTTTTTATACAATGTCTTGCTCCTCCGCCGTAAAACCCCAGTCGTCTCTGTTTCTGTCGCTGCCATAATGCCTGCTTAGCCCTCAGTAAGCGAACTGTTCCGTGTGTAGTCTACTCTGTACATGCATATAGCAAACATAGTCTTGTGGGTGCCTTGGAAGTGTGAAGTGGATGGCGAGTGGATAGCTTAGAGATAACCGGTGATACTTTTTTCAACTAACACTGGGATATAAAAATCACTTCTCACAACGAATCAGTAAGTCAGGGCTTCCATCCTCTGCTAATTTATTTGGCTCCCACAACTTTCCAGCTGATGTAGGTGTAAACGAAGTGTGGCATCAGTAACATTGAACATAGCTAGAAGTTGTCCTTGCCACGGTAATTTCGAGTTCGCATGCGAATAGAGTCATGTGATTCTTCATGATAAAGGATTGAGAGTCGCTTTTCAGGCGATACATCTTTAAACGATTCATCGGCGAATCCTTTCAACAAATTCGAGACGGTACCTTCCGCTACCTCACATTGTATCCCCGTACAACCAATGCTACGAGAAGCTTCTGCATCTTTGGAGGCCAGTTAAAGTAGGTCCGTAAAGCTGATAAGCTCAGATCATATTCATCAGGTTCAATTTGCACATGGTGACACGAAAGCTCAGAACACGATGAAAATTGAGGAAAATAAAAAGTACCACGGCAATGGGAGACTGGCGTGTAGCTTTGCTTTATGCTGTGTGCGTGCAGACAGTCCCTCGGATTAGAAGTCTCCCAATCCAACTACTCACCAGCAAGAGACAAATGGCCGTCCGATTTCCTAAGACAGGGTCGTTTAGTGGCCGGTGTACCACTTAGCTCTGTCGATTCAGACACCGTTCGCTTGTGCTTCC